GAAGGGGGCCAGGGAGATGGCTCAGTGGAATAAGCACTTCCCTGGCAAGCTCAGGGGCCTGAGTTCAACCCTCGCTTCTGAAAGAAAAAAAAAAAAGATTGAATTAAAGATGAATAAATGAGAGACTTGTGATGGATAGGTGACATAGAGCATTTTTTTTTATTTTTGAAAGAGAGTACAAATTAGAATTAAAACAAGAAAAAATTACAAGTGATACAGATTTTTCACATAACAAAGTAATATGAATTTCATAGTATTTGTTGCAATACACAGTGTTGTCTTCTAACCAGTTATTCATATTGCCAGATATATGCATGGAAAATTGGAAAAAGAAATAAATTTATAAGAAATTAAGGAGAGAAAGAGTACAAGCAATTGAAAAAAGGAGACAAAACAAATTAAAGCATTAACTGTTCTTTCCATAGACCAGCAGAAATGCACAGTACAGTTATCCAAACCATGCTGCTTGTGCACACAGATAAACTTCTTTCCTGTCCTTCTTTTCAACTCAGTAACCATGTCCTTTTGAATAAATTCATTCCCTTTTCCCAGTATCTGTTGTACCCTTCAGATTCCACTTTTTTTCTTTCAGGTTCTCACACTAAGGAGACAATATAATGTTTGTATATGCAGGTCTGATTTATTTCACTTAAGAGTATGTTCTTTAGTTGCATCAATTTACCGACAAAAGATTCAAATTTATCATGATTTATAGCTGAATAATACTCCATTGTGTAAACCTATCACAACTTTATCCATTCTTCATCTAATGATCATCTGTGTTTTTTCCAGGATTTAGCTATGACAAATTGCACTGCTATAAACATGGGTGTACCTAAATTGCTGTGGTATGAAGTTTTCTGGAAAAACAACTAGTAGTAGAATAGCTGACTTGAATGAGATCTGCAATCCTAGCTTTTGAAAGAATCTCCACAGATTTCCATAGTGGTTTTACCATCTGCACTTCCACCAATAGTGCAGAAGTGTTCCTTTTTCTCTATAACCTCTCCAGAATTTGTTATTGGCTGACTTCTTGATGATAGCCATTTTTTCTGAGGTGAGGTGGAATTCAGTGTTATTTTAATTTACATTTCTTGAATAACCAATGCCGTTGAACATTTTTTCATATGTTTACTTGCCTTTTGTATTTCTTCCATTGAGAAGTGTATATCCATCTCAGATACCCATTTTTGAATTGGGTCTTTAAATGAAGGAGGCCTGATTTTTTTAAAATTCTTTATATGTTCTATATAGAAGGCCTTTAGGTACAGTGAGCTATAATTTTTTCCCAGTTTTGGTTTGTTTGGTTTTTTTCTTTCTTTCTTTCTTTCTTTCTTTTTTTTTTGATATTTTAGGGAAGGGTCTACAAGGTGTTCAGGGTCTTACTGGTAGATCAGGTTCATAGTGATCCACCTGTTTACAGCCTCCCAAGAGCTGGGATTGCAGGCACACACCACCATGCCCCATCTCAATTGCTGTCTCAGCTCACCCTGGGGGTGGGGCTGGCACAGCAGGCCCGGGGATTGAACCCCTGGCCTCTGTGCCTGCTTGCAGGTGCTTTAATCTGAACTATTTGGCTGGCCCTTGGGGTTTTCCTTTTATGCTGTTGGATTTTTTTTTGAAGTGCAGAAACTTGCAAAAAGATGAGATCCCAGTTATTGATTCTTTGAAGTATTTCCCGTGATACTTTGAAGTATTTGCTCATGAACTCTCTACCTACTCCCATGTCTTTAGGAATTCTACCTACATGTTCCTCCAGAAGATTTAGTGTTTCTGTTTTAATATTTAAATCTTCAATCCATTTTGACTGTTGCTTTGTGCATGGTAATAGGTATGGGTCTAGTTTTAGCCTTTGGCATGTAGAAAGCCAATTTTTCCAGTACCATTTATGAAAGAGGCTCTCTTTCTTCCAATGAGCCTGTTTGGCCCCTTCATCAAAGATAAGGTGACTGAATGTGTTTGCAGATGTGTCTGTATCTTCTAGTCTGTTCCACTGACCCTCATGTGTGTCTCTATGCCAGTACCATGCTGATGTTATGCCAATAACTTTATACTATAATTTCAGGTCAGGGATTGTGATACCTCCTGCCTTTCTTTTGTTTCCCAGGGTTGTTTTTGATATTGTGTCTCTTCTGGTTCCGAATGAGTTAGATCAAAATTTTTGTTTAACTCTGTGAGGTATAATAATTGTATTTTAATCAGGATTGCATTGAATCTGTATAATAATTTTAGTATTATAGCCATTTTCACAATATTGGTTCTTCCTATCCAAGAGAATGGAGTACTTTTCCATTTTCTCAAATCTTCTTCAGTCTCTTTTCTAAGAGTATCATAATTTTCACTATATAAATCTTTTAAATCCTTTATGAGATTGATTATTAGTATTTATCTTTGGGGGGATGTTATTGTGAAACTCATGGTTTTCTTTATTTCTCTCTCAGTGTGTTCATTCATTGTGTACAAAAACACTACTGAGATTTGAATGTTGACTTTGTATCCTGCTGCATTGTTGAATTTGGTGATTAAATCTACAAGACTGTTGGTGGAGTTTTGGGGCTTCTCTATGTAAAGTATCATGTCATCTGAAAATAATGATAATTTCATTTCTTTTCCAATCTTTATTCCTTTTATTTCTCTCTCTTGTCTAATTGCTCTGGCTAATGTTTCCAGAAATATATTTAATATGTGTGGAGATAGTGGACATCCTTGGCTTTTCCTTAATTTTAAAGTGGAGGCCTTCAGCTTTTGCCTAGTTAGTATGATCTTGGCTGTATAAATCTTCTCATAGATGATTTTTATCAGGTTGAGATATAGACCATTCAATTTTCTATAGGGTTTCTATAATGAGTGAGTATTGGACTTTGTGAAAAGCTTTTTCTACATCTGTTGAGATGATCATGTGGTTTTTGTTCTTGGTTTTATTGATGTGGTATATTACATTTATTGATTTGCATATGTTAAACCATCCTTGTATTCCTGCAATGAATCCTACTTGGTCATGACGTACAATCTTCTTGATGATTTGCTGCATCCAGTTTGCTAGTATTTTATTGAGGACTTTTGAATCTATATTCATTAAAAAGATTGATCTGTAGCTCTTCTTTTTTATTTGGATCTTTCTCTGGTTTTGGAATCAGAATAATACCTCCAGGAATGAGTTTGGGAGAATAACATCTATTTCAATTTTATTGAAGGGTTTGAGAAAAGTTGACATTAAATCCTGTCTAAATTTCTTATAGAATTTTTCTGTGAGTTCTGGGATCTGGGCTTTTCTTTGTTGGTAGCACTTATTTTTCTTTCATTTTTTAAAAAGTGTATTTAGTACAGGGTTTACAGGGTCTCACTACACACATCAGACTCCTAGTGATCCTCCTGTTTTCAGCCTCCTAAGTGCGGGGATCATAGGCCTATACCACCAGGCCCAGTCTCAGCATGCCCCAGGGGCGGGACTGGCACGGCATTCCAGGGATTAAACCATGATCCCTGGGTAGGCTTTTTGTTACGTTTTCAATTTTGTTTCTCAATATTGGGTAATTCAGAGTTTGCATATCTTCTTGACTCAGCTTTGGCATTTCATATGTATCTAGGAAACTGTCCATTTCCTCTGTGTTTACATAGAGCATTTTAGAGAGAAGTTGAATAAGTCTTGAGGCTGATATATAGGGAGATCAAGGAATAACAAGCAACATTCTAATTGTAACAAATTAAAATATTAGTCCCTACCTTCTGGAATCTATACTATTCTATAACGAAGACAAATATTATCAGACATTGGATATATGCAAGGTTATACTCTAAGGAAAAAGAAAAGTAGTACCACATGAAGTAGTAGAGCAAGTTATAAGGAGTACTGGGTCACTTAGGGAAAAATCATCTTTCTGAGAAAGTGCTAATATTGTGTTTAGCTCTCAAATGGCCGCTTCCTGGGAACTGAGTGGGGTAGGGTCATTGGAGGGCCAGGACAAGAGGACTGCATGTGCACTGGTCCCTGGAGGAGGAAATAGAGAATGCCATGTGGGGGGGCATAAGGCACAATTAATCTGTGCCATGGAGCAAAACACTGTCCCTGGACACATCAGGCCTTAGAGGACATATGGGCAAGTTTGGTCTTTATTTCAGAGCATACTGGTTTTCCTGTGACAAAAATCCTCCAATCATACCTGCAAGACAGATGGGGAGCCTAAAACACAGCCTGTTTATTCTGACAAATATATTGATTAGAAAACATAAAGGAAGAATTTATCATCTGCTCTGGTGAAGGTTTCTGTGGTCTTTTTGGCAATCACTCCTTCAAAAAGATTAGAGAGCAGAGCAGCCCAGTCAAAAAAGATATGGTATTTGTATATAGTGGAATATTACTCAGCTATAAAGAAAGACAAACTCAAAGCCTTGATAGGTAAATGGATGCAACTAAAGGCTATATTCATTAGTGAAATAAATAAGACCCACATGTGTAAATATCGTATAGTCTCCCTAGTGTTAGAACCTGAAAGAAGAAATTAAACCTGAAAGGTATATCAGATATAGCAAAACAGAACTTAAGGATTAAACAATGAAGATGAGAGAGCTTTTGGCTTCCCGCTAGGAGGAGACTAAGGTGCAACTTTTGTCTTCATCAGAGGGAATCCGGTTCATCCAACACCAGCCACCTCCAGCATGCAGCCCAAGTCTGACCCCAACGAGATTAAAGTCATGTACCTCAGGTGCACTGGTGGCGAAGTCGGCGCCATATCTGCCCTGGCCCCCCAGATCTGTCCCTTGGGTCTGTCTCCAAAAAAAGTGGGGATGACATCGCCAAGGCAACTAGTGACTGGAAGGATCTGTGGATTACAGTGAAACTGACCATTCAGAACAGAAAGGCTCAGACTGAAGTTGTGCCTTCTGCCTTTGCCCTGATCATCAAAGCCCTCAAGGAGACACCAAGAGACAGAAAGAAGCAGAACAACATTAAACACAGTGGAAATATCACTTTTGATGAGATTGTCAACATTGCTCGACAGATGCGGCACTGGTCTTTAGCCAAAGAACTTTCTGGAACTATTAAGGAGATCCTGGGGACAGCCCAGTCTGGGGGCTGCAACGTGAACAACCGGCACCCTCATGACATCATAGATGATGTCAACAATGGCGTTGTTGAGTGCCCAGCTAGCTAAGGTGCATAAGAAAATACGTCAAAAAAGAGATGATCTGACAACCAA